GTTAAAGACATGCCATGATACTAATTTCCCACATAGCAAATCCCATTTGAAATACGTGGAATTACTCAGAGACCATCAATGTTACCCTATTTCCTCGTAAAGTTCATATACCGCCACAAGAAAGGATAATGCATAGGTGGAGACAAGTTTTGTATTCATTAACAAGTATTTATCAACAACCGTAGATTTCTGATAATAGACGTAACTCTTGTTGAAAATACGTGAGCTGCTTTCGAGGATTAGTGGAAATTACAAAACCATGTTTCTAATCCCTTTCGGGGATTAAGGAGTTTGTTTTCGATATGAGAACATAATTTCAGTACATTGTAGTACGTACCAGTAAGGTGTCGAATTTTTTATTAATGTGTATAGGTAATTTTATTACCATATCATATAGTCAAATGCTATTAAATTTATGAGTTGTTTAAAAAAATAATTAGAAAGATACTTGTAAGCAATAAATATACGCGGATTTACGTTTATAATATTCTAATGGTATTTAACTAGTGGAAAAAAGATGAAAAAAAGAAAAATATATTGAAATTGTTAAAATGACATATTAAAAAAGGCATAAAAAATTGCTGTGTCAACTATGTCACGAACTAGAATATATTTATTCCCATTAGACATTCTATATAAGAAATATTTAATATTTTGCTTTCATTTTTGTCTTATATATTCAAAAATCTGATGTGTCCAACACATGACTTTCCTATCTAGTTATTATAGGCATTTTCCGGTTATTTTGTACAACCTATTGCAGCATCTCTATAAATGTTTAGAGGATAAACTAAATATATACATTTTCCACATACATCTACCTCGAAACATTTTTCTATAGATATTCATTGAAAACGAAAATACAGAAAAATTTAAATTTAGCACTTTTCCATTACGGTCCATTTTAGAAAAATCATATATAAACAAAAATTATAGAAATCGATATCGCAAACAACTTTTAGTTCAACAATTTTCATAAAAATCAGAATTTTGCACATTTTGTCAAATTTCTCGAATACGGACCATTTCAGAATATTTTGACATAGAACAAAAATTATAGATAATAATATTAGAAGTAACTTTTATTTGAACAATTTTCTTCTCGAAACATAAATAACAGATATATTCCATAAAATATAAAAACGGCCTCCCATAAAGTACCCCCCCAGATGTTCCGACTTTGTCCAAAATCTAATCATTTCACGTCAGGCCGAAATAAACCTTAAGTTTAAAATTTAATGTTTTTTCCTTTATCCGTTTTTGAGTTTTCTTCAAATTTCGAAATTTACACATTTTCTCAAATATCTCGAATACGGTCCATTTTAGAGAAATTATGTATAGGACAAAAATTATAGAAAATTATATTACAAACAACTTTTATTTGAACAATTTTTATAAAAAATTATTTTTTTTACATTTTCTCAAATTTCTCGAATACGGACCATTTTAGGAAAATTTTGCATAAAACAAAAATTATAGATAATTATATTAGAAGTAACTTTTATTTGAAGAATTTTCTTCTCCAAACGTAAATAACAGATATATTCCATAAAATATAAAAATGACCACCTATAAAGTACCCCCCCAGATGTTCCGACTCTGCCCAAAATCTAATCAGCTCATTAGACGCTGAAACAAAGCTTAAGTTTAAAATTTGGTGTTTTTTTGTGTATCGGTTCATGAGTTATGCGTTATACAGACACACACACACACAGACACACACACACACACACACACACACACACACACACACACACACACACACACACACACACACACACACACACACACACACACACACACACACACACACACACACACACACACACACACACACACACACACAGACAGCATCGCGAAAATAGTCAAAACGGATTCAGGGGACCTCAAAACGTAAAAATCCGTCGAAAACTCGAGGTCGAAAAAAATCATGATTCCTATACTTTCCTTATATCTGTATACAGATAGGAAAGTAAAAATGTATAAGCATAACGCTAAAAATGTAATCGACGTTACATGTAAGAACTGTGATTAATCTTATTTTAAGTACAGGTATTTTTATATAGAGGGCGCAACCTAAACTTTTTAAATCTTATATTAGCAACATTGTCATGATTTGATGAAGTAGGGAAATAAAGGAAATTCATTATTTTATAACGAAAATTATGTATAGGTAAATGATAAATCTAGTTTTGGAGAAACTACAAAAATATCTAAAAGTTTAGAAAACTTTTTAAAATATTTTATTTTTATATTTTATAATATAGAAACATAATTTGTCAGTAAATAAAAATAATTTTCATGTTTTTTCTATTCTTCCTCTCCACCTGATAAACTTTATTTTTTCTATACTCACACGGATCTATTCTACGCACTGAACTGATATAATTTCGTATTCATTCTAGTAAGGACACTGTATGGATATAAAATCTATCAATCGAAGTTCATAGTTCATATTTAATGACCGGTCTACTACTGTTTTAATATTTTAGAAATCTAAGTAAAATTTTTGTAAAAGTGTCAGTATCTTTTTTAGTTTTTGAGATTAAAAAAGAGTGAATGTAATGAAAAATCGATAAATAATGAGATGTCAGTAGATATCTATTTATATTTTCAAAAAAACTGTATACTTTTTAATAAAACTCTCTAAAACTTATTATAAATTGAACCATAAAAAATGCGAGTTGAGTAAAAGGTTCACATTCTAAGGAACAGCGTTCAAATCCCAGAAAAGATCTTTTTTGTTGCTTATTTTTGTTTGTTTTATTAATAACTTAAAAGTTTTATATTATTTATCTTTAAAATGGTTATTTCATTTTAATAACATCTATTATTTTATTGTTCGTCTATAAGGGAAGACCCTATAAAAGAAAATAAGGAATAATAATAAGCATAATCCACACCAATTGAAGATTTTGATGCATAAGTGTATACCACAAAGTGACTTTATAAATCGTTAAGTGAAGAATGTAAAATATTTGCGCATATTTGAATAGTAGTAGTAATAGCAGCACTATACACTACTGGGCCAGTTTTTTCCCGGATCTGGGTAACAAATTCAACCGGCAACACCGTAATGCCAATAATTAAGCGTATGACAAAGCTTCAAAACTAATTCCAAATCAAATATGATCAAGACGTAAAATAAATAAAACACAGCAATGCTGCAGTGTGGATCTTTCGAGAGAGCTTTTTGAAGCCTCGCTGCCTGCTGGAAATCTTCGATTTTTTCGTAGTAGGATTTCCATGCATCTCTTTGTATTTGTCAAACGATTTTTTTGTATTCTTTGAGGTGAGATTTTTAAGTATCCCAGTTCTCTTTCAGTTTTGTGGTTCTTGCTTTATTAAAGGATTTCCTAGCCATCTTCCTGAGGTGATTTAACTCGTGACACCACTATGCGGTAGTTATATGATCGTATTGGACCAGCCTCAGGAACAGGATTTCTTATAAGCATTGCTTATTGTGCTTTGGATAGTGTTCCAGTACTTTTCCAAAGCATTGTTAATGTTTGACGGCATCCACTTCTCTCAGAGCCTCTTGGAGAAGGTTGCCTTTTTTTCTGGCTCGACGTCCTCCCCTGTTAGCTTTACTTGGAAGGAAAAAGGTTCTTTGCAAAGGATTCTTCACTGGGCCCCGCTTTAACCTCTTTTTCGAACTTTAGCCCTATAGGTAAATGAGGTGAGCTAAGACTTACCCTCTTTGATTTGATCTTTAAGATTTCCATGTCTTCCTCTCAGACAAAGACGAAGAGATGCCCCTTGGGATCTTTTTTGGTTTCATGGCGGAAGATGCACCATTTCGCTACATGCAAGTTAGGATTTTGTTCCTTAAGTACAACCTCCTTCTCATCAAGGTCGCCTTGCACTTCCCCTGAGATCCAAAGAGAGGCTTTGGTGAGCTTGGGGGGCTCGTCCATCCTTACAACAAAGAGTGTTGCTCCTTTCCATGTTTTTAAAGTTGGTACCTTGGTTTTTAGCCATTCCACGTCAGGTTATTGTCGCACGTTACTCTGATAATTTCACCTAAGTGCATTAAAGACCTGAATTTGGGTGACGGCTTGGTTTTGCTGCAGGAGGCAGATAAAATTGTTTTGTCCAGCTCTTGTATCTTGACAAGGATTTTTCATCCTTGTCTATTATAGCTACTTTCAGGTGGCTCGTAGCTGCATCCTTATAGCTTATCCCAGAGAGAACTTTGTAGTCCTGTCTGGGTTTTTTTTTCCTTCCAGGGGGTTGCCTTTCTTATGAAATTTAAAAAGTTTGTTCTAAAATTATTTAAATACGGACCCTAGCCAGCAATAGCCCAACCTAATAGAACCTGCATTTAGATGTCGATATAATACTTTGCCGACGGAATAATGCAGATTTAAAATGTGACAACGAAGCAAAAGTTTTCCGAGAAGTGCATCTAACCGCCAAATTTAGTAAATAAGAGTTTTTGTTGACAAGGGGGGTAGCCATGTGTGAGTTGAGGTAATTTTAAGGTGAAGGGGGAGAAAAAGTCCTTTATATCTCACAAGGAAAGTCAATGTATAATTGTTTAACAAAACATTGAGTGCGACCGGTTTCGAAGTGTCATCACTTCATCTTCAGGCTCGCCATACTCTCCATCGAAACCGGTCGCACTCAATGTTTTGTTAAACAATTAAACATTGACTTTCCTTGTGAGATATAAAGGACTTTTTCTCCCCCTTCACCTTAAAAAAAAGTTTTTGTCATGAAAATTTAGTTTTAAGCAAAAATTTAACTAATTATTCTAATAAAAAAAATATTATTTCAGAAATACTTAACATTCTAAATAGTCTTGCAATTTTAACTATATGAAACTACTTTATTACAAGATCATCATAAAATTGATTTACTCTTTTAATTTTAAACCTTTGTTCGAACAAAATATAATCCTATAAAGGTCAAATTAAAATTAATTCCCCTAACCCAAATTAGTATTCAACATGTTTCACTTTTCGTTTAAGGAATGAAAATTGCTTTTCTTGTTTCAGGGCGATATAATACATCACCCCCACTTAATATTCATAGATGACGATTCTGAAAAAGCAAATCATTATAGAGCTACTATAGATGATGGAAATGATAAAAGTTTTCTCAAAGCTAATTGTTCCAAAAAAGAGTTTTCGAGAAATAATAAGAACCAAACAGCCGTTCATTGCAGTGAGTAATAATTATTACTACTTTATTTATATAAATTTTAACAGATGATGGGGTCTATTCCGTAACAATTCCTTCATATTTTAACGGTCGTTAAAATATTGGCAGCCTTTAAAAATATTTTGGTATTCAATAACTTACTTCTGTCATTATTTTAACGAATTCCTTTAAAATAGTCCTCTAATAACAATCATTTATAAAGGGATGTTAAAATTCGCCTTTAATTTTTAACAGAACCGATAATAACGTTTCAAGACATAATTGGAGAAATTTTGATTAAAAAGTTACTGGAAAATGAAGAAAGATATAACAAAATACACAACATTTATAATGTAGGTACATCTGACATTTAATAATTAAGAACCGAATTTTGATTACATCAAAGGTTAGTTAGGGACTTAGCGATCAATTTAGCTTTGTTAGCGGTAAGAATCCTGAACCGAATTATTACTAATAGTAACGATTTCGCAGGCGCAGTAGCTAAAAAGCGTTCGCGGAACAAAAAGAACTGAACTATTGGTTCTATCTTGCGTTCGCGGTAAAATTATTATTGGTTTTGAATCGCTTGTCTATACCTAAAACACCGAGATCAAAGAATACCTACCACATTAACCAGAGCCATGGAAGTTATTCTTAGTCTCACTCCCCTTGATAAATATATCAAGAACCCCCTTGATAATTATATCAAGAAGGTTACTCTGAAGACAATGACACACCTCTTCACGGTTGAAATAGAACCTGATGTACAATCTAGTGAGGCGAGACGTCGCTTTTGGCAAAAAGCGCTCGATATACTCAGCTCATCTCACCGACATATATCTTCGATAAGCCATATGAAGATACAACAAACAAATTGAAGAGCCGGGAGTGGCAGGTACGATTCATATCTACACCGATGGTTCTAAAACCAAACAATGCTCAGGATGTTGAATATAATCCAATTCCTTAGACCTTAATATAAAATGGGCTGTGGACAATAGTGCCAATGAAGTAAACCGAGCTCACGGATGTTCTCATAGCAGCAAATAAATCACCAGAAACAATATCACTGGTAGGAACATGCTTATCTATACAGATAGCAGATAAGCACTATTTGTCCTGAACAGACCACGAACTTACTCAGGGTTAGTACTAGAATGTCACGCAGCTTTTGAAAGAATATCCGTCCAACAAAGTAGTCACCTTAAGATGGATCAAAAGTGACGCCACATCCAAAGGTAGTCTTCTTGCTGATTCACTTCCCAAGAAGGCGGCTAACCAAATACTTTTTAGGCCTTGCCCTTCTATTGGACTGACAACATCGGTAGTGACAGACCTAATTAAAGAATATTCTCTTGTGAAATTGAAGAAAATATGGAATGAAACAAGAAACTGCAGAGTTACCAGGGAGCTTTTAAGTTATCCTGGCAACACTACAACAAACAAATACAGAATCTGCGTCTCATCACAGCTATTCTGACTGGTCATTGCCAAGTACGGAAGCATCTTCCTTTCGTGGGGCTGCCAGAATCCTCACCCTGCAGGAGGTGCGACCAAAAAAATGAGATCATTAAGCATATCCTCTACGATTGCTCGTCGCTCTCATTTATTAGAAGATTTGTTTTCGGCGAGTATTGGCTAACACCTGCCGATATAAGAGAAGCACCTCTCGGCGACGTTGTCAACTACATTAAAGCTGTAGGCTGGCTCACAAGCTGGAGGTGCCTATCATCTTAGGAGGATACACAATGGGCCTTGTTAGACCTAAGTGCCGTGGGGGTAATCCACCCGCCACACGTTGTATATCCAGAAGTACTGTCATATATTTTAATTATTGTTTCGTATTACTGTTTATTTACTCTTTTAAATTGATTGGTTTGAAAAACAAAAAATAACATATTTAAACAAAAGACTAAATAATTAAACGTAGGCGTAAATATCATTATAGGTACTTTTTACTGATTTAGAATTAAAAAAAAAATTATAGTAAGATGCAAGAACGTTCAATAAAATTTATGAACATGAAATACAAATTTTAAAACTATCTAATTTCTAATTACTACTTAGTTAAATACAACTACTTAACTATACTGCAATTTTCACAAAACGCTAATAATAATATACCAAACGTTGCTCTACATACATTGACAGCATATTTGACGTTAAACTACCTTTAAAACACTGAGAAAACTTGGCAATTTTTTGTCCACGAATCGCCCATTTAGTTTCGCTTCTTGGGTAGGTATTCTTTGCCGAGATACAATAGGGATTGCGCGCGCCGTAAAAATTCAGAATTGATAATGATTCGGACATGCGCTCAAAGTATGAATTAATAATTATGAAACAGTTCAGGATTGTTACCGCGAACGAAGCTTATTACCAAATCTAGATTTTAAAAATATTTTTCGGTTTTAAAGATGTAGCCAGAACTGTTAATATTATAGAGCCAATTTCGTTGTATCTATTGAGTTTATTTTCCCACCGTGAAGCAAATTTTGCTCTTCTTAAAAGTTTATCACCAACTCTTTTTGATTATTAGTAGTTCTTGGTGCGCAAGACATTTTTTATTTTAAATATATGTAGGTATGTTTTGGTTTTGAATTGAAAATTGAGGGTTTGTAACTTGTATGGTTATGTTTTCAAATGTATTCTTCTAATCCCTTAAAATTAGTTCAAATTAATCTTAAATGCGATGTTGTCAAGTGCTCTCCTGTCATTTTTAAGGAAATCTGTGAAAATAAATAATTTTTAACAAGCCTCTAAAATTTGTGCATACAGAATACAATTTTTGATTAAAAAAATTAGCGGGCTGCCAAAAGTTAAATTTTTAAAGGCCTCTAAATTTTAACGGATGTGTTACTGAATAGACCCCGATACATGTATAAATTTTTGTTTCAGAATTAGAGTTTAAAGAAGACTGGGTATTTAAGACGTCATTATATTCATTTATACTTAAATTGAATGATACTTCACTTATTAAAAAAAATGTCCCATCAACGGTAAGTTTTATATTCTATTGAGCTTATTCTATTGAGTACTGGGATCGTTACTAAAAAAAAGGAAGGCGTTACATTACACTTTGATATACTAGTTGTATGTCGAGATTTAATTTTTTGTTTATTTTATTTATAATGTCTGCAAAAGCAATTAAATGTAAAGTATGTGATGCTCAGCGCAAATAGTATGGTATGGTTACAGAAGATTATATATTTTCGCCATGATCTATTGATGCTGGCAAAAATAAAATATTTTCTATACCTTGTTCTTCTAAATTTTCATCTTCTTCTATTTCCCTAGAAGTAAATAACCCATCAATATATAACACTGTTTATAACAAATGTTTGAAATACCTTTACAAAGTTTGATCCATTATCTGTAACTGTTGCCACCAGTTTCCGATTATCTATGTATAGCCAAAAACATGTGAATGTTATCAAATATTACTGCTATTCTGTCATATGTATAACGTCCTAAAAACCTTCTAAAAGTAATAGCTGCGCGTTTTGGAAGAACAAATATCTGCAGTAATGCAAAACAACTTATATTTTGAAATTCTACTTTAAATCCTCTTGTTTTTTGAACCAAAATTCTGAAACTTTTATTATTACAGTTTTTCTACTCATAACATTTACGTTTATTCCTTGAAACAATCCTCTAAAACTTTGATGATCAACAAACGATACAACCGACATTGTATTAACAACAAAATTGATAATTCGTTGGTAAAACTGTTCTTGTGTTATATTTTGGATCTTTGAAATAATTGAGCTATGTCCAATTGAGCTGAATTGCTCGTTTGGAATGGGTCATTTGATTTGATCACTTTTTTGTCCCGTTTGTTTACATTTACATCTTCTTTGTATTTCAAGTAGTCTTAGAATGCTACCTCATGTTATTATTCTAAATGTTTTGCAAAATTTGCATCTGAATTTGAGACAGCTTATAAAAAAGTTTTCCTAGATAAACAAATTATACTTTGTTGTCTTTTTATTTCACAAAGTAAGAAAAATTTCATCTTTTTTAAATACCCGGTAGAATTACTAATGAATTAGCTTTTGAATTAACTAGGTATACTAAATTTGAGACGAAAAGCAAGCTTAATATACTTGTATATTTTGATTTTTGATATGTTGTGCAGTTTGCATCTTTTCTTCTTTTCCAATAGCCCTAAGTCCTACTTAATATTCATTAATAACTTAATTAACACTAAAATAACAATTGTTTTAGTAGTTCTTATTCAAAGTCATAAAACCAAATTCATCTCAGATTCTGTGTGCTTCCAATTTATAGAGTAGCAAAATAATCTTTTCTATTCCTGTTTATGCAAGTGTACAAACAATTTTTAGCGTGTTTAAACATTCCTCTTCTATAAGGATTATAAGAGCGAAGATACGAACACGACAGTATTGTCACTAAATGCGATTTATTACTATTTAAATTGAATTAGGCATATTATAAAGTATAATTACAGGATATAAAAATTAGATTAGCAATATAAAATAAATAGGTATGAAGACGAAGTATGTATGTAATTTGCGCTCAATACAAAATAATTATAACGATACAGGGTGTAGCAAAAAAGGAGAACAGTAAATTTAATCAGTTTCAGTAAAAAAAAGTTGATTTAGGGTAACTTGCTTATTTAAAGAAGGGATAGTGAAAAAGTTACAGGGTGTCAATGTAGAAATTTTAGAAGTGATTTGTTACCGTCAAACTAAGGATGGAATTGATTATAAATAATTCACGTTAGTATCAATCTATATCAAAATCACAGGTACTATCATCTTCCTACATATTTTCGCAACACGTTTACACGATAGAAGAAAAAAATTAAATTAAATTCAAAATGTGTCCCGATTCACCCCGTCTGTGGAGTTACTCAGGAAATGCATTTATTCTGCAATGAAAACACTGTCTCACCTACTCTGGTTAAGATGGGACAAAAATCAATGATGAAAACACATCTCAAGAATAATTTTTATTTAGATTAAATATAGTAAAAACAATTTTTTCGATATAAACTTATCGTCTACCCTGTTTTTCAAATTTTTATCAATTTTTCATATTCACATGGAAATTTGACACCCCCTCTCCGAGGTTGCACTGGTTGTGGAAGTTTCTTAAGAATTTGAGAGATATCCACAACAGATTCATCAGGGGACTTGTGGAAAAATACAGGTATTTTCCACTTTAGAGCTTTCTCTTAAAAAAGTAATGCACAGTTGTCCATCATTGTTTCCTAAGATTTTACCTACAAAATTCCTAGAAAACTTTCCAGCAGAAGTAGAGACACCAACAGCATTAGCAGCAGCAGCAGCAACAGCAGTGGCAGCAGCAGCAGCAGCAGCAGCAGCAGCAACAGACATAAATAAAAACTTCAGTTTTAAGTAACGCTTTACTTTTGTAGTAGCGCGTTACTGGTAATAAACGCGTTACTAAAGAGTAACGTTTTTGTTTCGTTACTCCCATTTCTAATTCAGCAACAGCAGTAGCAGCAGCACTAGCTGCAGCAGCAGCAGCAGCACCAGCTGCAGCAACAGCAGAAATAAATAAAAACTTCAGTTTTAAGTAACGCCTTAGTAAGGCGTTACTGGTAATAACGCGTTACTGAAAAGTAACGTTTTTGTTTTGTTACTCATATCTCTAATTTTACTTATTTTATTATATTGTTTATCAATTACTCCCACAAAATCGTTTTATGATCTCAATAAATATATCAAATTTGTTTATTTGTTTGTAAACATTAAAGTAGGTATTTGTGTTTATAAAAAAATAACACTCAGAGTATATTGAAAGGATTAAGGGTAGTATGTTTATCAAAATTAATTGTTTACTCCAGGAAAAAGCTATAAATTGCCTCGTTTCTTTTTGACGCAGAGAAAATTGAGGCTCCATAGGGGAGTATATTAAAACTCTTCTACTGGAACCATATTGAAAAAAAAATTATTATTGATTTCAGGAAAAAAGTCATTCTTGATAAAAAGTCCTGCATGACCCAAAATTTAAAATACAGTTATCAGATATTAAATTTTTCAAGCCGTATACGGGGTTTGTCAAAAAAAAATGAATTTTGCTCAAGAGTAAAGTACATTTATATTTAACAAAATCGAAAATTTTCATTAAGAAAATTGCTAAATTCTTCACAAACATCAAGAAAAGGAAAGCGTATCATGTTTATAGTAGAAAAGAGACAGAATCTAAAAAAAATCTGATTTTTCAGATAGATCGGTGTAATTGCATATTTGAATGTAATTTTTAATTCTAATCAACTTTTCTTAATGAAAATTTTCGATTTTTTTTCCATATGGTTCCAACTTAAGTAGACACACTGTATATATTCTACATTTCTACACGACATAATTAAAAAAAAAAAAAAAGAAAATTACAGTGAACTTGAACATGAAATTTATCAAATTCAATAGGTTAAAAGTGTTAGAGAAGTATTAAAATATCAATTTTAATTTGTAGGTCGAACTCCCTATTCATTTGTCCTTCAAGGACACGCCGGAATCCTTAACGCTGTTAAAATTGTATCCAAGTACACCTAAAATATTCAGGTAATCAATTTAACTTAAAAATTTCATTCATTCATACTAAAGGGATTAATAAAAATTAATTATTTGATAAATAGGAGGCATTAGACATTATAAGCTTTTAAAAGGGATGGAAAATTCTTTCTTGTAACTTTACTATAAATAGGGTTTATACTTAAAGTTGATTTTGTTGATATTCTAGGTCTGCAGGTCCATTAGCAAGAGTAACCCAACCGAATCTCATTGACAAAAATTATAATAATTTTAAATTGATAGAAACATCAAAATTCAAAGGAATTTTCAATATTACGAAAACTCAGGGTATTATCTTCGTTCACGATTATCTGAAATTAAAACATATCACCACTCAATTTTTGAGGTAAGAAAAATATGCTTTTGCACTACCAGCTTTGTTACTAGCTTTTTTAACATTTTTAACATTATTTCCAATAAATACTGAAGTAACACTGAATACTGAAGTATTTTTAACAATAATTTAAAAAGTTTCTCGACTAGATTTCTAGAAGAATGATCTGTATGAAATAGTTATTTTCCTAACAAGTGCGGAAAGTGTTACTTTCCCGCACGCGACTGCAGTTGGCCCGAACGACGCGAAGCGGAGTTCGGGCAAGCGGTCAAGTGCGGGAAAGACACTTTACGCATGAGTTAGGAACATTATTTTTTCTACGACCGTATATACAAAAAAGTAGGAAAAATTATTTTTGGAAAATTATTTTATTTCAACATATACAAATCTTTAAATAAAAACAACTAATTATTATGGATATTAATGTTAAATACACAATTTGTAGCATTTTGTAAATTATGTAAAATTGCCAGTACAGAGGAATTAGTAGGTGTTAATTGGCTGTTAATAGTCGTAACGCTCGTAGATTGAAAAGATGACGTGGACGGGAGGACATCGGTTGCAGGTCGCATGAAGGTGAAAATGACGGTGGCAGCAAAAGTTGCAAGTCATTTCTATTTGAAAGAATTTTATTCGAAATGTTTTTCTTCTGTGTTTCGGAGTCCTCCAAATAGCCTTCAGCGATAGTAGTGGACTTCCAGCCACCGAGACGTTTTATATTGGTTATCGCTTCACCTGAGTCTGCTAGGAATGTTGCTGAAGAACGTCTAAAACTGTGTCCTGTTTACGCCAACGCACTGAATTGAGCATTTTCCCTTCTTATAATTAATAAAAAAGCGGCGATGCGGAGTGGTAGGTGGTCGTAAACCTGCGTACTTTCTGTACAGCTTCAGAAAGTTTCCATTATTTATTTCTTCACATAAAACAAATGATCTTGAAGAATGATTTTTGGAATCGGAAATTTTCACAACTATCAGATTGCCTTTATCTTGTATATTATCGAGAGTGATATTTACAAGCTCCGCTCTGCGGAGAGCACCAGCTAAAGCAAAAATGGTACTCACTTTAATCATAAGGTATACCTCATCAGGGGCTAACATAAACCTGGATATATCTTCTTTGGTAAAAACCTGCGCCTTCTGTGCTCGAAAACCAACATTTTTTTGTTTTAGAAATGACGTAACTTATGGAACTGGCTTATATCCAAATTTTGTTTTATTTTTACTAAACTTTTCACCATCGAATAGCGAGACCATAAAGTATTAGATTTCAAAAACTTACTTAGGTGCGAAAAATACGCCAGAAACACCTCTTCTTTGTAGGTTTACACCATGTGACAAAGTGGTCGTATTGTTTTTCATATCTTCCTCGTGATTTGGCAGGTAACACCTCCAAATGTGCTTCATTTGCAGCTTTTAAAATGGCTTCGGGCAGCTATTCATCCGACGAATCCATTATTTCTTTAATTTATTTTAATTCAGTTGATGCTTCAACAAACAACTTTGACGTTTTTGTAACAATAACACGCCTTGGTTACCATATAGCAACCATATCAAGCCATACATGTCACAGCCTAGTCTGACTTTTAAAAATATACAGAAGGTATATAAAAATATCTCTATTATTTAAGTTTTCCAAAAAATTAAAATTATAACAAAAAGCAAGAAAAAAGGTAAATTTTATTAAATGGAATAGTTGGAAAATACTAAATTACCTATTGTAACAATAGTTATAACATCCGAGGTAAAAAAACTATACAATAGGTAAGGCCAAATATTCATAATTTTACTTTCCCGCACTAGTGCGGGAAAGTGATTTTTTCCCGCACTAGTGCGGGAAAGTGACACTTTCAAAACTAAAATGCGTGCGGGAAAGTGGGTAAAAATACACGGTCGTAGAAAAAAATTATATTTATTACATTTTATTGATTAAATAATTCTTTAAGCATTTCCTCGGTCTCTTCTTGGGAAACATTCGTCTTAATGAACTCCTTCAAACGATCTTCAAGTTTATGGGGATCGTTCCAGTACTTTTGTTAATTCGTTATAGAATGGAGTTCTTTTCTCGAAGTTAAACAGTTGTCTCTTTTTAATTCAAAAAGAAGTATAACATAGGAATCAAAAAAAAAATGTAGGATTTGCAGTTTGGAGGGGTTCCAAGCTAGATAGATCACTCTCTTTTATTTGGTATTCTCCTAAGTATAACAACCTTGGATTCTGGAGTGCTATACATTCAGTCAGAAGTGGTTGAATTATATTTATTTTTAGCCTAAACATTTCTTGGACGAAAGGTAACAAACCTGAATTCGATGAGATTCAAGTAAGAATTGTCATAGAACCGAATCAGACATGTACGAATTTTGAACGAGAAGACGATTGGACAATTTGTTCAGAATACGAAACAATTGACGACTGTTTAAGCAGTAGTTCATGTGGTATTGGAACTGGAGGATCTACTAGTGTCGAAATGAGGTAAGTGGAAAACATCAAGTATTCTTTGGTTTTAAAAGTCATGTATAGTTTGCTATTGCTCTGGAGTGCAGTGTTTTCTTTTTTATTAACAACAATTTCAGTAGAATTTTTTACCTGCACATGTTAATTAATTTGTATTTTAGGAAAGGTCCAGAAAGATGCATGTGGAGAGGGGACGAAATAACCACAACTACTACTCATTTATATTCAACTTGTACTTCAGACAGAAAAACTTGTCCAGACAACAAGTGTGATTCTTTGGAAGAGTTGCATCCAGCTTTATGCCCACAAGATTGTACTAGTAAGATTCTCTTCATTACATGTCAAGTTTAAGTTAGATTTATTATTCACAATGCCTTAATTTTATTTAAATATATCTCAGTCAACTTCTAGGAGTTCTAGGTGTACGATAAACCCTGAGAATGTGATCAGTCTCTGATCTGCCTTTGATCTTTCTCTATATCTGAATCTTTCTCTTTATACATTTTAGCTATAGTAAATTGGCCCTTAAAGCTTGCAAAATCTGGGTCTGGAGTAGATGAAGCTAGTGGGACCGTTGTGTGTACTAAACTAGGATGTACGGTAATCAAATCAAGAAGATCTGATGCAAAAAAGAAGAAAGAAGATAAATTAAAGAAACATTTAAAACTTGCTGATCGAGTTGTAAATGAGAGTTTAGTGCAAAATGAAAACGTCACCATAGGTGCATTTGGTAAGGAGGTTTTTTAAATCCTTTAATAATTATGTAATAAGATGTTCACTTTTTAGTTATTTTAATATGTACATAGCACCTCTTGTATCTTTTGGACTGTGTATTTTCAAAACCAAATATGACATATTCTCAATATTTGGATGTGGACAAACTCACGTATATTATTTACTAAGCTTTTCCAACATATCCGGATTTGCTACCTAACCACAAAATTTGTTCTTTAAAATATACAGGGTTGGCCAAACCTCTGTCGTAGTTCTATAACTCCTAATATGCAAATCTTAACGATTTATTTGATGTATACCTGTCAATGGTGGCCAATACCAAATATCCCAAAATTATTTTCTTGTGTACAGGGTGGCCCAATAGTAAATTAGGCAAATCACTTAATCTTTTTTAAATGGAATAACCCACCTTTTTTTTACAATTTTAGGTACTCTATGGTCACTAGTACATACCCACAAAATATTGTTTCTAACATCCCACTCCTTTCGCAGAAAAAAAAATTACCAAAAAATATTACATTTTCAGAAGCCCATTAAAATATGCAGTGCTCTCTCGAATTTGATGTTAGAATTTAAAAAACTACGAGTGTATAAAGCCAATAGACCAAAGATTTTTTTGGACCAAGTTTGAGTTTTTTATTTTGTACAGGGTGGTCACAAATTAATTTCACTTTCCAAAAATTTCGAGGGAAATTTTTTAAAATTTTTCAAATGTATTACCCTGTATTTCTATTCATCAACTGAATGAGAATTTCATACCCTTCCACTTCCCTATGTACTTTCCTATACCTATCTGTCGCCGTTATAAAATAAATTCAAAAGGAAGAAAATTACGATAATAAAATTTATTTGAAATTTATCCTAAAACATAAATTTACATTTTATAAAAGATGCTCAAAATGTCTGCCATTTTCTCTAATACATACATTTATTCGTTGGGCGAATGATCGAGAAACGTTTCTAAGCATATCAGGTGTAATGGAATGGAAAGCTTGCACTATCCTTTCTTTCATATTTTCAGGTGTTGTAGGTGGCGTAAGATAGACTAGATTTTTAATATAACCCCACAAAAAATAATCGGGTTTTGTTAAGTCAGGTGATCGAGCTGGCCATTTTTTTGGACCATTTCTACCAATCCATCTATTTGGAAACTTTTCATCTAATTCATCTGCCACTTCGCGTAAAAATTGAGTGCTGCCCCATCATGTTGGTACCATATTGTTAGTCTTACAGCAAGGGAAATGTTTTCAAGTAAAGTAGGAAGATGATTTGCTAAAAAATCTAAATACATCAGACCATTTAAGTTGCCTTCAAAAAAATACGGCCCAATAACATGATCCCAATTATACCTCCCCAAACATTTACACTCCATCTTTCTTGGCTATGTGTTCTGATGATGTTAGGATTTTCCGTGGAATAATAGTGGAAATTATGTCCATTAACGAATCCGTTCTTGTGGAATGTAGATTCATCAGAAAACAGCACTCTATAAAAAAAAAAATGGATTTTGTTGCAGTTTAGTTTGTGCCCATTTACAAAACACCATTCTATTATCAAAATCGGTGTCTTTCAGCTCTTGATGCAATTGTATTTTATAAGGATGATATTGATGCTGTTTTAAAATCCTTCTAACGGATGTTCTGCTTATACCTACTACTTCGGCAATCTTTTTTTGACTTACATGAGGATCTTCTATCGCTGTCAAAATTACAGATAATTGGTTATCATTATCAGTAGCACGTTTGTCAATTATTGGTTTTTTATAAGCAACATTTCCTGTTTCGGTAAATCTTTCATGTAACTTTTCAAAACTTTTTTGATCAGGGATGCGTCTATCGGGATATCGTTGATGATAAATTCTTTTTGCCAATAAACAATTTCTGTCGGATTCTCCCAAAACATAGACCATGTCAATTAATTCGTTTTTCGTAAAATTCATTATTAATAGAAGAATTATCGCGATCAGTAAAAATAACTTGACACTTCATTAATAAATAATCTGACACTTCATTAAGACCCAGCCTACTTGATTGAATGTTCACTTTCAATAAAACCACTGGTAGAAATTGGATTTTTGATAGATCAATGTCTTTTTGGAATTTACTTTTAAACGACGACAGATAGGTATAGCAAAGTACATGGGGAAGTCGAAGGGTATAAAATTCTCGTTTCATCGATGAATAGTAATACAGGGTGTTCTATTTGAAAAATTTGAAAAAAATGTCCTAGAAATTTTTGGAAATTGAAATTAATTTGTGACCACCCTGTACAAAATAAAAAATTAAAACTTGGTCTAAAAAAATCTTTGGTCTATTGGCTTTATACATTTGTAGTTTTTTAAATTCTAACGTCAAATTCGAGAGAGCACTGTATATTTTAATAGGCGTCTGAAAATGTAATATTTTTTGGTATTTCTTCTTTTTCTGCGAAAGGGGTAGGATGTTAGAAACAATATTTTGTGGGTATGCACTAGTGACCATAGAGTACCTAAAATTGGAAAAAAAGTTGGGTCATTCCATTTAAAAAAAAAATAAGTGATTTGCCTAATTTACTATTGGGCCACCCTGTACACAAGAAAATAATTTTGGGATATTTGGTTTTGACCACCATTGACAGGTATACTTCGAATAAATCGTTAAGATTTGCATAATAGAAGTTATAGAACTACGACAGAGGTTTGGCCAACCCTGTTTATTTAATAATATTTTTGGTACATTTTTTAGTAAAAGCAAAATGTGACTTTGCCTGCATGGTTGGCGTTGGAGCAGGTACTTTGGTTCTCATTGGTTCCGTTGTTTTCATCATTGTCTGCTGGGGCTTGAGAAAAAATAAAAAATCTGTAAGGAATTTACTGGAAAAGGATAATCAAGAATTAACAGCACCTTTGTCTCTATCTAATAATAGAAACGGATTAGGGGAACCGTTGTCGTTCAATTTTCAACAGAGCGCTGATACAACTTTTATCAATATCATCAATAAATATGCAGTAAGTACTTCAATTTTTTATATACTACTTTAGCACAAACATTTGGAGTCATGATATCATTCCATCAACATAGTTTTATAAAATGTTGATCTACAGTTAGAAATTTAGTTAGTTAAACTCATTATATTGTAAAAAATATTAAAAATTGACAGGATTGATTACTAAACAAACTTATCTGTTACGGTTTGTCATACTCTGTCATTTGTATCTGTAATATGTGGAAGGTGGGTTAAACCACGGTACTCAGGCTTCACTAGGCTCATTGTGCATTCTCTTAGGTAAATAGGCACCTCCTAGCTCGTAAGCTAGCCTACAGATATAATGTAGTTGACAACGTCATCAAGAGATGCTTCTCTTTTATCTGTGGTGTGATTTTCATGATTTCTGTTATAATGAAACATGCTGTTGCTTGAATTTGTTCTAGTTTACGGATAGCTGCAAATTTTTGGATTTTCGGTACCCAGACAACACATAATGTTGATGATTTAATTCTGTAAAATATTTTGGCAACATCTGTGGTACCGCAAGCACCTGATCTTGTACCCTTGCTTCATTATATCTCTATTAACGACATCCTGGAGTGCATTCATGTAAATTGACTTATAGGCGGATAACTTGAAAATTTTTAATTTTATTTCTACCAGTGCTGACTGCGAATGTGTATGCCACAATTTTACAATGTTTCCCTCAAGCGGTACCTTTTGATTGTTTTGCTTCTTACATCAAAATCATTTCTCTTTACCCTCATATCATTGCTAATAATATAGCAACATATTTTTGCATTCACTCTGTTATTTTTTTACTCAACATGTGTATATTTTCTTACATATCTAACATTTCAAGCCATACGATAAGAACTTTAAAACTTTAAGCCTAATCCACTCTAATTACTTTTCTATATTCTAATTACCTTACTCTTTACACGGCATTTTCATTCACTTAACCCAGATAACAATTATACATTCTTAGCATATTCTTAATATATACTTTTTAAGAATACGCATATGCTAAGAATATACTTTGTTTGCATTAAGTATATACCTAGAATATACTAAGCATTACGTGACGTTGTTTATTGCCGCGTTTGAGAATCCACATCGGATGCATCTGAGATGTAAAAAATCTTTGATCACGTGATTCAGTATACGTAAATTTAATGGGACAGATGTGTCCGATGTGGATAAAAAAACGCTCGAGATGTAAAAAATGCATCCGATGTGAATTCTCAAACGCAGCATATACATGCTATGCAGATACTGAGAATGTACTTCAAGTATTTCTACAGTATGCAAAAAATATCTACTTAAATTTGAGAGTACGTAATAAGTATTTAAATATAGTATATGGTAGGCATATACTAGACACCCTAATACAGGATGTTTCATTACTATTAAATATTTCATTACTATTAAACATTAAAGAATAAGTGTATATAGTAAAAGTCGTGACCATTTTTTAAATCTTTATTTTAAAAAATTCATACTTATTCTTATTTTTATTACAAATTTTTACTACCATGTTGTAGTTTTCGTCCTCCTTTAGCGAATTTTTTAGTTCTTCTGGCCTTACAGGATTTTTTTTATAGAAAGTGTGTATGTAATTCTGGTTACACTGTATTTTAGTTTTAATCCGCCATAAATATCAACCATATTAATAAATTCACACTGGCAATTATAATTTGGGATATCCTGTATTCTAACATCACTTATAGGTCCTAAAAACTACAAATATAGTAAAATTTGTTTATTTTTATATACAGGGTAGCTGTTAAAGATGGAACCAAACCTATAGTGCTTAAAAGGTTCAACATACAAAACCCAAAATTTCAGAATTTCAACTAAATATATTTGCGCATATTTTAGCTCAAAAATTATTTTTTTTATAATTACAAAATTTTAAGCATGGCCGCCATCTTGATTTTTTTAAATAGAAACATAGGTCATGTGATATACCATTTAAAAGGGTTTAACAACCTGATTTCAAAAATGTATCACACATGGGGTCTAAACATAAATGCACAGCCTCCTACGCTTCCTATTAATGATATCCTTTCTGTTGTGTTAGACCCCATGTGTGATACATTTTTGTAATCAGGATGTTAAACCCTTTCAAATGGTATATCACATGCTCTATGTTGCTATTTAAAAAAAATCTAGATGGCGACCATGCTTAAAATTTTGTAATTATAAAATAGATAATTTTTGAGCTAAAATATGCGCAAATATATTTAGTTGAAATTCTGAAATTTTGGGTTTTGTATGTTGAACCGTTTAAGCACTATAGGTTTGGTTCCATCTTTAACAGCTACCCTGTAGAACACACGATGCAATTAATTTATTTACCTAGTACAAACTGCAAAGAAATCTAAAAAGTTGTAGGTTATATTATTCTTTTTCCTTCTTCTCTTCTATTAAGGTTGTGAATGTTTTTTGGCCTGAACACTCAAAATTAGTGCATTTTGCTAGCGAATTATCAGATCGGCATCTGGGAAAAATTCTATCTTCTAAAAATGTCCTGTTATTGCACGTGCTCAGTATATACTTTTTGGAATATACTTTTAAGGCACGTACTCAGTATATACTTTCTAGAATATACTTTCAAAGTATATTCTAGGTATGTTCTAAGAACATTCTAGAAAGGATATACTAAAAAGAACTTAAACAGAACGTTCTTGGTATATTCATAGAACATTGATGTTATGTGGGTACTTGGAAATGTTTGTATTCCATATTCACTATCGTCAATTTCAAACTTTATTTTTTTTTAATACCTTTTTAATATCATCTTTAACTGAATTTCCACCGCACAAACCAAACCCCTTCTAATCTACTTCCTCTTTTTCGGCAAAATGATTAAATTTCTCAATCTTCCTTTCAAGTTCTTCAACTCCTTTTTTAGGACTTTTTGTTCCTTTCTTAACACTGCATTATCTTTAGACATGTTTTCTAATTTTGTCTGTATGTCATCCATCACTTCTGAATTAAATTGTACAGATTGCTTAAACTTAGAGAACCTCCTTTTAAGAAATTGCATAATCTCCTTATTAGAAGGATTAGAGCTATCAAGGACATTATCTTCGTGTTTCTGTACAATACTCTTCCTTTTGGTCTTTCTCTGTTTTGGTGATATTGGTGATGTATCTTTAGATACTGGTTCCGAATCTTTTTCATCCTGACTGGGGACGAAAAACTGTTCTGATTACTAAGAAAACTGCATTCTAGATACTCAGTTTTCTTTCAACTATTTTTCAGATCATTTTCCTTCAGTTTTTCTCTCCACTGATCAAACCACTGTTTAAATTTTCTACCAAATTTCCCAGAAGCTTCTCCACTGCATGTCCTCCGTAATAACAGACAGAATAATTTTTTTTCTACATTTAGTACAATGCTGTGCAACCCCTTTTTAGAGTTCCCTACCCGGAGGGTAACCAACGGGTCCCTATTTGTAAGCCTCGGCTGTCCGTCTGTCTGTCAGCCGGCTGTATATCACGATCCGTAATAGATAGACAGTTGAAATAATCACAGAATGTGTATTTCTGTCGCAAAATAATAAAAATGAAAATAAATTGAAAATTAAAGGGGGCTTTCTTACTAGAAACTAGCTCATTTTTGGCCTATGTTTGTCTTTTTAGGCTTTTTGGCTTTTTCTGCTTTTTGCGGCTCTTTTGACTTTTTTGGCCTTTTTGGATTTTTTTTTGGCTTTTTTGGCTTTATTTGGAATGTTTGCCTTTTTGGACTTTTTTACTTTTTTACTTTTTTCATTTTTTGGACGTTTTGGCTTTTTTCTGCTTTTTTGTTTTTTGCGGCTTTTTGTTTGATTTTTTTGGCTTTTTGGCTTTATTTGGATTTTTTGCCTTTTTTGGACTTTTTTACTTTTTGTGCTTTGTTGGCTTCTTTGCACAATCATCCGCCATTTTTAAAATCTTTAAAATTTTATTTTTTAGACCTTCACACTTCACAGGAATACCATCAATCTTTACCCTTTTTTCTCTACACACAAAATATTATTTTCTTCATTTAACAAAACTCTAATTTAGCATTTCAACTCTCTTCATCCTTTGCGATAATCCCACTGATCTGTATTATTTTACTGGATAGGATATAGGCCCCTAAAAAACGTTCCGAAAAATTGGCCGATTTGGGCAAATAATATTGCGGACCGGATGTTATTTAACGTAACCTCTATTTCTATTTGTCATCACATTTGTCATTAAATTGTGGATAACAAAGTAAAAAGAGTATGAAATAAACAATAAACGTTCATTCCTGAAGACACTATATGCTTCACGTTTCCATTTTTATATTTCCTTTCATAAAAAATCAAATCATGGGTGAAATTTCCCGAAGGACATCGCCCGCAAAAGGAATAGAAGAAGAAGAAGAAGAAGAAGAAAAACTAATCAAATTATAGGTTAGGTATGTCAAATTATCCCAAATTTCAGTTCTGTGAACCCACCATAATTTGCCCCAATCGGCCAGCATTGTTGCACTTCCGGTCTCCTTGGTGGAACGATTTGTTAGTATGTTAAATATAGCCTATATCCTATCCAGTAAAATAATACAGATCAGTGGATAATCCAGCCTGTTTTATCACTAATATAATAACTTACCTGAACAAAATATCTTTTTAATTGCTCTTTCATTTGCAACTACCCTTTTAAAATATTTTTATTCTTCAAATCTCGCACTGTTTGACAACCTCTTTTTTCCCATTAATTAAACTAACTATGACTTTCACTACCATCAAATTATTTTAAAATCCTGCAATAAGAACGATATAAATCTGAATCCTTTTAAAACTTTAATGTCTTTGTATAAAATGGATAATCATGTCGTAGATAATTGAATCTCTGAGAGTTATCACCTTCATAAGTATTATATTTCTGCTCGTTAACGTTAAGCATATGAAACATAATACTCTAACGATACTGCTAATAATTTGGTGTAAGGTTGTAACGAATATAAATAAAATAGGGTGACACAACAAAAAGCTTATACAACCTTGTGACTTGAAATGTTACAATCAATCAATCAATAAAATTTTATTTTATACCGTGGTTTTTTTATTGATGTCTCTTGTGTGTGCCTCGTGTTTACTATAGGTTGTGAAGCATTCGTAGTCCAATACTCCTTATTTCAGAAGAGCTAGTACTCGGATACTCCTACAGAGGGGATTCGTTACTGTTTGTAGTTATAGACTAGTAACATGACGCTGAAGAATATTTCACAATATTCTCAATTAAATATGTCCAATTTCCTCAGTCCATTTTTTTCCACACAGATACAAATTTTAAACCAAAATGAAGATATATAAAGTTTTGCATTCTATATTACCTATTCTCTTTACACGTTCTCTTTTTTAATAAAAAAATTTAGACTCAATAAGCTTTATTGCCTGCAGCAGTTTCGTTGCTTGTTAATAAAAGATTAAAGCCCATTGAGTGCCAATGCAAGGCCTTTACCTAGAATTGTCTGGTTTGGAAGACACATTTATTTATAGTGATTTAAGTTCAATATTTTATTAATTAGGATTTTACAATTTTCCGTACAGGAAAATAACAACCTACGGTTTGAATTTACGCCATATAACCCTGTGGATTATATATAAAAAAAACCCCCAAATAATAAAATAATGAAAAAACTTCTATGCCTAAATTAATATAAAAGTACTAAGACAGTGGAAAGAAAAGATGAGAGAAGAAAGATAGAAGAAACCTTGGTCCCTAAGCTGCCCGGAAGCCGCTTTATCTTCGCTGTATTATCAGTGAATTAGGTTTATTATTTCAAGGTGATAAGTAAAGTAGCAAATTCTCAAAATTCCTCCAAAAAAATAAATTACTACCTAAATACCGCACTAGAAAGAATAAATTAATTAAAAAAGCTTAATTTTTCTGAGGATTCCAAGTTAATACCGCTTTTCGTTTTTGATTACGATTTTTTTTTAAATTTTAATCTCTCTTTACCCTCCAATTTTGCATTTTTTTTTTCAAAATCAAGAGGCTTCATCTGCTTATAGAGCTTAGGTTTTAATAAAAATTTCAAATTGATATCATTTTACTTTTTTAAAAGTACATATAATAAGTAGGTATAACAAAAAATAGTTATAGAAAATATTCTACTTTTGGTTTGGACACTATGTATGAAACTTAAGCTTTCAACAGACATTACAAACTTAATTCCATTCCAGCCTGATCCTAAGTGGGAATTTCCTAGATCACAGCTTGTCATCGAGCAGACTCTCGGTGAGGGAGAATTTGGAAAAGTCCTGAGGGCTAAAGCACAGAATATTGCAGGAAAAGCAGGTGAGATATAATTATTATAAGAGCAAACCGAACATCTTAAAAATTTATAATTCGTTCAGTCCGATTTTTGTGAAATTTTCAGAAAATACCAATAATAACAAAAGAAGAAACCTTAAATAAACTTTCGCAAATCCCTAAAACATTTTTGCTTTCGCGAGAGGTCCGTTTTCCTCTTAATTAAACTCTAAAATTATGCTGCCAATATTTATTTTCTAGGTTTAACAACTGTAGCAGTAAAAACACTTAAAGACGATGCTAGAGAATCTGAACTGAATGATCTTCTGTCGGAATATCAATTGCTCAAAGAAGTATCGCATCCGAATGTCATCCGGTTGCTAGGAGTTTGTACTGCTCCAGGAGGACCTGTATATCTTATCATTGAATACGCTGAATTTGGTTCCCTAAGGTACATTTAATGACTCTAGTTTTAACATTCATATGTTTCTTCAATTAATAATTAAAATTTACATTGACATAAATTAAACTACCATGTCAATGGTTTATAAAGTTTAAACCACTCAACTAATAATTTAACGAAATATATATCTTGTAGAAACTACCTCAGAAGAACGAGACACCTCCAGCAGAATTCTAACCTCAACATGGTGCAAAAGGAAGAATATGCTTGTCATTACGATGAACCAAAAGTTAGTGATGTCACTCCGAAGGATCTTCTATCGTTTGCTTGGCAGATTTGCAATGGAATGGGCTACCTTAGTGATATGAAGGTATTTAAATAGTTATTTTAATAAACATTTCATTGTCATTGTTGATTGGTTGTAACTATATTATTCACAACCTTACTGCATCATCAACGTGTATTTTTACTGTAAATATTCAGTGATTTGTCTTCCTGTTATTCTTTTATTATCAAGTGGTTTCTATTCATAAAAAAATAGTTCTATTCTTCTTTTGTATTTTTATTATTTTGCTTGAAATATTGGTTGAATTCGGTTGATTATAAATTCAACCGAATCCAACCAATATTTTCCTTATAAGGTCTTTACAAAAACATACCACATATTCCTTAGACCAAAATAAGTCGATTTAAGTAAAATTACCTTAGTACAAAGTTGCTTCGTTTGGGCTCCAGAGGGCCTTGAAGTTACAATTTTTAAATCGTTTTTCCCATATAAATTTAAAACGGCATATGCGATTTTGCTGAAATTTGGTATATTGGTAGAGTTTTATGTGGCAAAAAAATTGGTATTAAAATTTTGTCCGATAATAATACATAGGCGTAGAACTTGATTTTTTAAATAATTGCACCTTTGAAAATTCTACGCCAATGGAAGAAAAGGAGTTTGAGTATGAAATTTAGATTGCGCAACTCATTTACTTTAAAAAAGGTACTCTTGATAAGACCCGATTACTCTCATGGTTTTCGCTAAATTTCTGTTTTAATAATTTAGAGTGTATAGGTTTCACAAAAATATTTATTTACAACATAATCAAAATAGAGATTTTACAAAAATTGTTCAAAATGTTCACCATTTTTACGCATATAAAGATTTATACGTCGAAGAAAATTAAAATACATCCTTTCCATAACTTCTTCATCACCTCTAAGATTGTTTATTGCGTCTTGAATACGTTGCCAGAGTTGTTCCTCATTTTCTACAGGTTACCTGTAAACTGTGGATTTCAGATGTCTCCATAAAAAGTAATACATCGGTGTTAGGTCTGGGGAACGTGATGGCCAGTTTACAGGTGCGTCATTACCTCTGCCTATCCATTTGTGTGGATATTGTTCATTCAAGTGGTTTCTAACGTTTAAAGAAAAATGTGGTGGAGCTCCATCTTGCATAAACCACATATCTCTCCGAAGTTGGAGAGGTAAATCTTCTAACAATTCTGGCAACGTATTTTGTAGAAAATCTAAATAATTTTCTCCAGTTAATCTTCGTGGAAGTATGACAGGACCAACAATGAAATTACCAATTATTCCAGCCCACACATTAATTTTGAATTCGTGCTGAAAATGGTTTACCTTTATTGCATGCGGATTTTCAACGGCATAAACATGTTCATTATGGGTATTAGTTATACCTCTTCTTGTAAAACCCGCTTCATCGGTAAAGAGAACCTTCTTGACAAAGTTTGGATCTCTTTCTCTTTGCATATTAACAAATCGACAAAAACCCAAACGAATTTGAGGATCATGGACTAATAATTCTTGTACTGGCTTCTTATGGTATGGATATAGCAATTGTTCTCTAAGCACTTTATGAACGATATCTTTACTTACTCCTAGTTCCTTTCCAATTCGTCTGGTACTTAATTCTGGATCTTCTTCAACACGTTCTAAAATGTCTTCTTCAACTTCAGGAATCCTTACAAAACGTTCTCTTCCATTATCAACAGTGTTGGGAGCAAAGGAACCGGTCTCCCGAAGACGTCTCTCAACAGCAGCAAAAGTTGGGTGGCTAGGTACACGACGATTTGGAAACCTTTCAGAGTACACCCTGACACTCTCTCGAGCATTTCCTTCACAAAATCCTAATGTCAGTAACATATCGGTATATTCTGCGTTGGTATATTGTACAGCCATATTAATAAACCACGCATTTGTTTTTTTAATTATTGAGTCAGATAGAACACTTTCAATCGTTAACAAGAGATTAGGTGTTAAAACTTGACAATATTTTTATTTAGATGAAACTATGGAAACCAACAATAAATGTTTTTGTATGCGTATTGCAGGCAAATAATTAATATTCCTCAAAAAATCGTACATGGCAAGAATCGAGTATTTTTGTTAAAAGTCTCGATTAGAGGTGTTGAAGAAGATATGAAAAAAGTACATTTTTATGTTTTTCATCGTATAAAATTTTGTCCGATAATAATACATAGGCGTAGAACTTGATTTTTTAAATAATTGCACCTTTAAAAATTCTACGCCAATGGCAAAAAAGGGGTTTGAGTATGAAATTTGGATTGGGTACTTATTTACTACAAAAAAGTACCCTTGATAACACTCGATTTACTCTCATGGTTTTGACAAAGTTTGTATGTTAATAATTATTGTTTATGTTCTAAAATTATTAAAATGCAAATTTCGTCAAAACCATGAGAGTAATCGAGTCTTATCAAGAGTACCTTTTTTAAATTAAATGAGTTGCGCAATCTAAATTTCATACTCAAACTCCTTTTCTTTCATTGGGGTAGAATTTTTAAAGGTGCAATTATTTAAAAAATCAAGTTATACGCCTATGTATTATTATCGAACAAAATTTTTATACCATTTATTTTGCCACAAAAAACTCTACCAATATACCAAATTTCAGCAAAATCGCATATGCCGTTTTAAATTTATATGGGCAAAACGATTTAAAAATTGTAACTTCAAGGCCCTCTGGAGCCCAAACGAAGCAACTTTGTACTAAGGTAATTTTACTTAAATCGACTTATTTTGATCTAAGGAATATGTGGTATGTTTTTGTAAAGACCTTTTACAGACACCCTGTATAATACAGAAGAGTGAACAAATTCAAATATAGAAGAGTCAGCATAGCATAGAGTGGTCGTTAAAAATTAAATTTTTTCCGACGCCTTAAGAAAACCTTCCTTTTGATGAAAAAATACGGGGGATTTTTTTTTAACAACATTCGATCGAAGCTTATTTTTTCATAATATCTCCTAAAGTGGACGGATTTGAAAAAAATCTGAAAACTTTAATTTTTTGGAGTTAATGAATTTATTATTGAGAATATCTCCATAAATATGAACTTTATGAAAAAATTAAACGAAACCTTTTTTGTAGAGAAATTTATTTCCTATAAAATTGCCCCCATTTGATTTTTTCATAAAGTTCATATTTATGGAGATATTCTCAATAATAAACTCATTGACTCCATAAAATAAAAAAACAAATTTCAATCGGCTCGTGGCATGTGTTCTTGTTGTTAAAAAAAAAACAATTCACTTGTATTTTTTTATCAAAAGGAAGTTTTTTAAGGCGTGGCAAAAATTTAATTTTTAACTAGGTACCACTTTAATAGACATGGATATGAATATGTTTGACAAAAAACAGAAACTTGATAATTATATCTAATATATACTAAATTAAGCAAAAATTCTAATATACTTTGGTCCGGTCCACTAGAACACCAGTTTTTATAGTTGAGGAAAAACCTGCCTTGCTGATAAGACCCGTTGATGCTCTCATTATACATTTTGTTGTTTTCGAAGTTATCAGTGAATTTGTAATAAATTAGAATCGGCAAAATAGTAAAAAAAGTGCCAAAGAAAAAACTTTTTAGGAGATATATCATCAAGTGAGTAAGTTTGGTATAAATTAAAAAAATACTGATAATAAATTGGCCTTTGTCAACGACAGATGTGTACAGTTCATCAAATTTCTAGAGGCGTTCGACGGCAAGACAGAGAAAGCACTACTGACAGGCATCCCGACGGATTTACGCAATGAAAGTACACTCTGCGCAACAAGTATTTCACTTTCATTCAGACGTAAATGTCAGATGTAAATTTCGCTAAAACATTTCTTTTATTTTCGATTGTGTTTTTTGCTCATTACAGTTTAATAGAACCTAAGTATGGAGTTTAATAGCAAATTAAGAGGCCGCGTGATTAACAGTCAATCTCGCGAAATAATAGCCAATGTTATAGAGTTTGAGAAGAAAAGGAAACTTTAATTCACCTTCAATACCATTAAAAATGTAAATGATCGTGTTGCTGCAGCCACAGGAGTATCTAAAAACACTGTCGTCCGCATTTCTGGAGAGAAAAAAAGAATCGATAACCGTGAGATATCGGAATTTTCATCACCAAGAAAAACCATTAAAAAACCAAAAACAGTTAATGATATAGATGAAGCTACACAAGAATCAAATTTTATTTTTTTATTATTAGATAGCTATTTTTGTTTCTGAGTTGTGTTCATTTACAGGCTCAATTTTTTTCCGTTTCTCCTTTTTGATTTTATATGGGGTTTCAAGTTGTTTTTGACTTATTTCGACGTAAATCACAACAACACACTTTTTTAATAAAGCAAACAAGTGTTAAGAGGTATATGTACGTGTAAACTACAATTACAAAAAATTGATATGAAACCCATGAAACCACCAACAAAAATGTAAAGCTAGCTTCCGTACTAGAACATGGTGTCATTCGTCGAGATAATTTATCGTTTTGTTTAATAGATCAAGAAATGTAAATATTCCCCTGTTATTTTTTATAAAATTATAAGAGAAATAATTTTTTATCTAAATAGTATAGTTTATTATTTTGTAGAAAAACAAAATTTCGAAAATTTTAGTAATGTTTCAGAAACAACCGTTATTAATAATAGGTACCATTTTCCTTAATAGAGTAGAAATAAAATATAAACTATTTCCACGATTTACAAAGGCCTACAAAAAAATTATAGGTATTTTCCGCTATCCTATAAAATTTATATTTTCTGACTCAATTTCAAAAGGTTGAAGGAATTCCAAAACACCTTTTATGGCATAATAATTATTTTCAATTCTACATACTATCTTTAGCTGCTTTTAAAAACGTTCTAAGAAAGTCCAATCAGACCAATTTAATCCCTAAACTATTCCACACTTTTAAAATTTAATTACCTAAAAATATTAAAAACTATTTAAAATAACTTGTTTAGCAGACTGTACAATAGCTATCTTAGTCACATGTAGCGCGTTCTCTGTCTGGGCGTCGAACACCTCTAGAAATTTGATGAACTGTACTTTACAAATTTTTAGTT